AGTTGTATGGGAGCTATATGTTATAGTGGTCCGATTCTTCCGGTTCCGACAAATGATTAATACATTATAAAAATACACCCACCTACCAAATTTGATCCGGATATCTCGAAAACTGAGAGACTAGATTGCATACAAACAGACAGACAGACGGACAGACGGACAGATGGACAGACGGACAGACGGACATGGATAAATCAACTCAGCTCGACGTTCTGATCATTTAAGTATACATTTTAATGGGTCTATCTCTTTTTGTTCTGGTACTTACAAACATCGGACCAAAGTTATAATACCATTTCATGCTCATGAAAGGTATAAAAAAAAGTAACACAATCGGCCTTACTTTCAGCAACACTGCATCAAATTTTTTTTTTTAAATATTTTGGATTATTTACAACTACCTGTTTACGCGAACTAATATACCTTTCAAGATACTTGAATCCAAAAAATATATAGTCATAAATAACTTCTTTGAATTTACCCCACGTTTATTTTTGTACTCACCTTTTTATGGGAAGCCACAAGAAGCGCATGATTATCATCACCTGCAAGAAAAGTTAATAAAATTAATATAGACTTTCAAGAGATTATCATCTTAAAAATTAAACAGCAAAAGTAAATATTTGGTTGCAAAATCAGTCATCAGCAAAGCAATCACACTGCTCCAAGACAGCCTTCGAAAAGCAAATGCAAAGTGCGCCATCATCATCAGCAGCAACAACAACAGGAGCATGAACGCCAGCTGAAATGATGCTTTGCCGCCTCAAGAGTCAACAATGAAAATATTATTACAATTTTTATAAGATTAATCAGTTGCCCAATGACATTTACGAGATCACGACAAAAGAGCAAAGCGTGATGTTATGCAGGAAGAAAAAGAAGTATGTATGTATATGCATTTCGTATGTACATATATTTGTAAGTACGTTCATAAAAGTATGCGCATACTTTATATTCATAAATGGCGAAGGCGTGAAAGGTAGAGTAGAGGTAGTGGCGCTTTATTTCGCCTGTTAGCTGTATTTTTGTGCTGTACTGTATGTGGCCTACATTTCTCAAGTTGCAAATGAGCTGGCAAAAAGGTGCTTAATTCATTAGCACATTTATACAAGAACACGTACAGTATGTATGTACATACATACGTACACAGTCACATGAAAATTGCCAGCAATGGTGGAGTAATGAAGTATAGGCAATCGTATTGGATTTCCGAGTTCGCTGAACCATTCAAGCGTTTAATAATTTTGCACTGCCGATAGTGCAGTATAGTGGCGTTGTTGTTGCGTTGGCTTTAAATAAATTATGTATATAAAAATGTTTCAAATATGCAATGCTAATGCTTAAAGCCGTCACCTTTAAAAGTCAGTCAAAGCACTCTGGTGTGCATTGGATGAGGGCCATAAATCGTTGCCGATTTGTAGTGCGCTAGTAATTGAAATGTTCAACAAAGCAGTGTGCGCAGGTCAATTAGCGCGTAGTGACTTTTTTGAGTAAATACCACGGGAAGATTGAATTTTTTTTTTGCTTATTTGCCAAGATTTTATAAATGTGATGCTTTGACATAGTATTACGAAAGAGCTGACAGAGTGCCAAAAGCGTAGATTTTTTCGTCGTTTATGATTATTTCAAAGTGATTTTGGAGATTACAGACTAAAGTATTAGTAGTCTCATGAAGATCACGCAAATGGATGACGGGGGACGAAATTCCGGATTGAAAAAAATCTTAAGCTGGAATCATACGATTGCCGCAAATGCATCGATCTAACACATTTTTATTGTGCTGAATTGGCGCGCAATAACGAAATTGTCCCAATCAAATTCTGCCCGGTCACACGATTGCCTCATCTATATATGTATATAATCTATATACATATAAAATATGCGAAGGGATTTTTTGTCCAGGTCATCAGATCTGCAGCGTGCGTTCGATTTTCAAAAATGAGGTGCAAGTTAAAGGGCTTGGGTTGTAGAGGTGCAATACTTAGTTCTTCGAAAAGTGTTATCGCCTATTAAAAAAATTGATCGAAATTATTTAATAACCCATGCCTTTAGATCCGCACCGTTCGTTAGAGATGTCAAATTAAAGGGCTTGGTCTGTAGTGTGCAGTAAGGTTTTATTTTTTCGAAAAGGGCAATTTAACAAAATTTAAACCAAGATATCAAGGGTATTAGTCGAGATGGTTTTGAAACGGCTTTATTTATAATTTAAATATACGAGGGTTGCCACTTTTTAAAAAAAAAATTTCAATTTGAATTAAGGTAATTGAAATACGTATCTATCACCCAATGGGTGCCAGACGAAATAGGTTAAAGGAGGTAGTAGTTAAAAATATTTGGTAGAGGGTTGCCAAATGTTTTAAAGATCTAATTTAGTTAACTTATACACAAGTTATATGAAATAATAAAATATGGGTGTCAAACAAACGAGTGTTAAGAAATCTTTAGTTTGACCATATAGGAATTTTTGAGGTGGTTGAAGAGGGTTGCCATCAGTTGAAAATGTTACATTCAAATTATTTAATAAGATCATTCATTTGTTAAAAATTGGGTATTAAGCGAAATAGGTTTGAAAAGGATTTATCTCCGAACTGTTTTTAGGAGAGTTGCCACACGTATCACAATGCCAGACAGAAGAGATTTAAAAAGAGGGTTGCTACCTTTATGAAAAGTCGATTTTATTTAACTTATGGACAATTTAAATTAAATGTTAAAATATGAATGCCAAACGTATGAGTTTTAAGAAAACTTTAGTTTGAAAAGTAATATTTAACAGAATTTTTTTTGTGTAGGTCATCAGATTTTCACCGTTACTTCGAATTTCAAAAAATAAATGTCAAATTAAAACCCTGGGCCGGTAGATGTATTATAAGATTTCCTCTCTTGAAGCTAGACTTTTCTTGAAAACTGCTCAAGATTGTTCCGTCTTGCTAAATCCATAAGCCCTACAGTTTCCTGCAATATCGCTACGACCTGGACTGCATATGAGTTTGAGTGCAAAGTATTCTGTTGCGGGCGAGAGGAATGTCAGGAACTCCCCGACATTTTTCAAGATCACTAGCTAACGATATATATTTTCAAATCCTGGACTGGTATTACATTCGTAAGCATCCAATCCGCTGCTTCTTTTGTGGCGGCTTCCCCCGTTTGGATAGTATGACAGTGATTTGGGAGCTTAAATTTGAATGTGATGGAGAGTTGCTCGCAAAAGACCACTACATACATGCTTCTACATTACTTCGATACATCCGCGCATAAGTTCACTGCACTCTGAATTCCAAGATTGCACTACGCACAATATCTCTTTGAAGGAATATTAGTGATGAAAAAACAGTCGCACCCAGCATCTGTGTGTCATGGCCGGTTAAGGATGTGATGAAATTATAGCTTTTTAAAATTCCGCAGTGCCCACAACCCTAAGTAATTACACATAGCATATGCACCTATGTATAAATATTGACAATAACTCCTCAAAGTGTCAAAAATTATGAAAATGATGATCAACTTCAAAAGTTATTAGACACAAATGTTTAATTGACAACTCCAATGCTGTTGACTTCTGTTTTATGCTTTCATATGTTTATAATTTGCCATAATAAAGTGGCCGTTAAAATTCAAATTACTTAGCGCTAAGCAAGTGGATGACATCAGCTTGCGGTCAATTGATATGCCAAATTGCCTAAACATTTACCCCAAAAACATATAAATCATAAGCGCTACAGAAAAAAAAATGCCATAATACTTCGGCATGGCAAATTAAGCCACCCAATTTATGGGCTTTTGGCACAGCCAGCCGCTCTAACATCATCAAATTATTATTAAAGTAGCGGTCATCAGCCATAAATATGTATGCATATTAGGGTGGGTAAATTTTTGTGGGAGATATTTTCAACTATACGCGTTACTTGTAATTCTATGCAAATTTGCCGAAGAAACCATGGATCTAAAATGAATCTGAAGTTTACCAAATTGCGAAATTAGGTTTCTTAGCATTTTGCTGTAGTGTCGTAAAGAAGTGCTTAAAGTTTTTATGAAACATGCTATAAGGGGTTGGGAATCCTTTTTATATTTTTCTTTAAACTTCCACGAGAGGGCGCAACAGTGAAAATTTTCACACTTTTTTTTCGAAACCTATTTTGGCAATTCGGCACACTCCAAATTGATTTTAGAATTACACGTAGAATCCCCCTATGCTATACGCGCAAAGTCAAAAAAGTTGGCCCGCCCTAATGTACATAAATATGTTAAATTATTAGCTACTGTGTACAGCAACGTACGACATCGATATAAAATGACCGTTAACTGTCAATTAAATAAATATTTTAGCAATTAAATTTCAGTGCGTGTGCCACAAGATATGCGAATTCTTAAGAATACCAAAAAACATCGAAAGATATGTACCTACATACATACATATGTTTGTGAGTTGCTATGTGTACATGCTCGTTTATGTATAAATAAAAGACACAAAAACATTTAATTGAATTAGAAAATCAACACATGTTTCTATGTCAGCGCTGGGGAATCTCAAACTTTGAATTAACAGCTGCGTGGCGGAGCTTGAGCGACTTCGAGGCCAACAGCTACGAGTACTTATTGTATAGCCGTCCAGTTGAGTTCATTCATAAAATTGCAGTAGCGCAGGCAGCTATTGGCCACACGAACGAACTTTCTCAGCTTGTTGCACTGGTCTCTGGAGCTAAGCTTTCAGGGTTTTTGTAATTTGTTTTTGTTTGCATTTCAGCATATTGAATTACAAAAGCACATGTAGTGTTTTCTATAGAATTTTTTTTTTATAAAAGAAACAAAAAAAAGGTAATAATTCACAAATGCAAATGACATCATATAAATACCACAATTGTTCGGTTCTTTTGTCTGCGCCTAAGTTTGTGCAGCTACATTATTCACTTTGTAGATTAATTAAGTTTTATGTGCGTAAATTTTGCATACGAAAACAATGGGGGGGGGAAAAAGCGAATGTTCGACATTGAAAATTGCACATGGCCGGTTACTCCACTTCGCTAGAAAGGTTTGCGTTAATTTGAATGAAAACATGTATACAATGTATACTATACATACATACATACATACTTGCGTATGAACATACCGGAGTAAGTAATGCAAGAAAAACGTAAACTGTCATTTAACTAAATTTTAGTTGAACAATTGGTTGGTCCAGTTCGAACATAATTAAGTAGAAATTTTTAACAATTTAGCAGTACAGAATACAATGTCAAAGAATTTTACTAAATTTCACATATGTACACATATGTATGTAGTTGCATGTGTAACTGCGTAACAACAATTAAATTTTACCACATTTAACATAAAAGGAGGGCGTTTCAATTTTTCCACCTGAACCGCGCCAGCTTTAAGATTAAATTTTGCAGAAATATTACCTACCTACATACATATTTTAATAACTAACTTAGGCAATAGTGTTGTTGCTTGATTATGGACTTAGACCTTTAAGTTCTTCTTGCATAGTTAATTTGTAAGTTGAATTGTGTTAGAAGGTCTCTACAGATTAAATGCAGACATTAAGAAA